AACCCCCGAATTACTCAATTACTTCTATTTCTGCAGGATCGCCATTAGGTAAATTGCATTTCCAAAGATTTTTTCAAAATAAATGGCGGTGAGGGATATTTCACCCGCCGGTGATAAGAAATCGCAATCACCATAACGCACATCACTAATATAACTGTTCACAATCACGTTTACATTCAAAATTACAAATCATAATTTCGTTTTGTAGCAAATATGAAATATAGGTATATCCATTTACTTAAATGTGAACGGATTAAGAATAAAAGTGCTAGAAGGGATTTGAGCGTTTGGTACAAAAAGTATCTTTGATGTTGAAATTGTACTTAAAATCGGCAAATTGTACTGGGTATTGGGCATTTTACAAGTTTAATAGGAAGTATACATATCTGTGTTCGTATAGAATAGTAGCTTATGTCGGAAGACTGGCTTTAGTATAATGAACCATTCGCAGCATACGATTGCGAAAGACTCACTGGTAGGGTTCGAACGATACTATCGATATTGAGTAAGTATCGATACTTAGGGCATAAAAATGAGTACTTTAATACTCGATACCTTATTTGGTAATTTTACTCGATACTTTGCAAAGTACTCGTAGTATCGAATACTTTTTAAAAAACACACTTTTTAAATTTTTTCTTCCATTGCTTTCTTTGCTTATATAGATTACTATCATTCAATTTTGTCCATCACTTAAAATAAACTGAAATTGTGTGTAGTCTGTTGCATATCATAAGCCAAATAAGTTAAAGTTTAATGGCCATATTCATAAAAAATAGAGTAGGTTTAAAGAGCTTAATAAAATGAAATTTTCATGCATTTTTCAGTTTATAAACCTTTTTTATTTTTTATGAATAAGGCCATAAAACTTTGCGCAAAGTTCACGAAAATGCAGAATTTTTAGAAACTTTTTGGGTATGCAGTTTTGTAACCTATTCAAATTTACGTGTAGCCAAATTATTACGTGTAGCCTACTACCGTTGACTTTTAATTCAAATTTGCACATTATTATACTAAAATTGAAAATGCATGTATGTATGTACATTTAACATAAAAATTACTTCTAACGTGAAAGTAAGTTCTGCAATGGAATAAAAATCAAATATTTTATTTTCAGGAAATAACTACCCCATTTTCACATTAAAAGGAGAAACCTTCATTTTAAAATCAGATTAGTCAGTTTAAAATGAGAAACTTTCATTCGAAAATTAGATTAGTCACTTTAAAATGAAAAATTTCACTTCAAAATGAGAAACCTTCATTTGCAAATCAGAATAGTCACTATTAAATGAGAATATTTCATTTAAAAATGAGAAACCTTTATTTAGAAATCAGAATAGTCGCTTTAAAATAAGAATATTTCAGTCCAAAATAAGAAAGCTTCATTTGAAAATCAGATTACTCACTTTAAAATGAGAAAATTTCATTTCAAAATGAGAAAACTTTATTTGGCAATAAGAAAGTTTCTTTTCAAAATAAGAATATTTCTTATTTCTTTAATAAAAACACTTAACACTTTAACCCTTTAACACTTTGATGGAGAAACATCAGTATGCCCTGCAAAATCACACGAAATATGACTGAAAACGAATGTATTAGTAATGTAGTGAAACATATCAGTGTAACAATGCAGTTCCAAGATAATTGTGCCATTTGCGTGGAAAAGATGCAAACAAAAACGATTTTGCGTCTATTACCTTGCAGGCATCTATTCCATGAGCAGTGCATCCAGCCTCTCGTGAACGGAGATGACAAATTATGTCCGATTTGCCGTCAAGAAATTAACGGTATTTTATTTAAAAAAACTTCAAATCGTTATACATATGTAGTTTTGTTTGCAGATACGGAACAATGTCCCAGGAAGATGTATAAAAAAAACTCACAGGAAGATCGCAACAGGATTGTAACCACTGCAGCGCGCGGAGAAAATTGGGTTGCTCTCGCATCACAATTAGGTGTAGCGTACAAAACCGCTTGGGGCTGGATAAAGTCTGGTCGCGCCGACCAACAAACAAGAGGCGGCTGCAAACCAAAAATTCTTTCTCCAGAACAAGTTGATGTTATGGTATCGTGGATAGAGGAGAATTGCAGCATTACTCTTACCGCAATTCAGGCGCGCATTAATTCAGAATTCAACGAGACCCTGGCTCTTTCTACTATAAGCAAATACCTTGACGGAAAGCTATACACGCGAAAGGCTGTACACACTGAGCCGATCATAATGAACAGTAACGTTAATAAAGAGAAGCGTGCAGCATTCGTTACTTCATTGAATGGCTTTATACAAGCAGGCAAACAAATTGTATTCATCGACGAAACGAACTTTAATTTGTTTTGTCGCCATACTAGGGGTCGCTCCAAAGTAGGTCATCGTGCAATTCAACCACTTCCTGCAGTAAGAGGACCAAACATACACTTAGTTGGAGCTATTTCTGGTTCTGGAGTTGTATCTATGGATAGACAGCGGGGTCCGTTTAAAAAAGATACGTGTGGTGCGTGGATAGCCACTGTGTTACAGCGATGGGAAGGGCAGGGAAATAACTTAGCTGATTTGGTAATAATTTGCGGCAATGCCCCATGCCACTCTGCAATAGAGAATGCCGTGGCTATCAATTCAGGTGGGCGGTCACAAGTTTTACGCCTAGGCCCATATTCGCCAATGATGAATCCCATAGAAACTATATGGGCTAAAATAAAAACGTACGTGAAAGGTCACATTGGAGTTCCCATTGTAGAAGGACTAAACTTAGCAGAACAACGTCTACAATACTTGGAAAATTTGGTGGACGAAGCTAAATTAACAATAACTGGTGGCGATTGCGCACGAGCATTTCAACACTCATCATCTTTTCATACAAGTGCTGTAGCTTTAGAAGATATGCTGATTGGCACTTAAATAAAACTAAGTTTTTATAAAAACGTGTTTCTCATTTTCAATTGATGCTTTCTTATTTTCAAGTTAAAGTTTCTTATTTCCAAATGAAGGCTTCTCATTTTGAAAAGAAACATTCTCATTTTAAATTGAATATTCTGATTTTCAAATGATGGTTTCTCATTTTAAAATGAAATATTCCCATTTTAAAGTGAGTAATCTGATTTTCAAATGAAGGTTTCTTATTTTGAAATAAAATATTCCTATTTTAAAGTGACGAATCTGATTTTCAAATGAAGGTTTCTTATTTTAAATTGCAGCTTTCTCATTTTGAAATGACTCAACTTATTATGAAATGAAGCTTTCTTATTTTAAATTGGAGATTTCTCATTTTAATGTGAAAATGGTGTAGATATAAGATTGAAGAATAAAATATTTTAAGTATCCCAAAAAACGTATTTAATGAGTCCGATACTGAGTAGTATCGATACTTTTTCCCTGATACTTTTAGGGTATCGATACCATGAGCTCGATGCCAGAATGAGTACTCAGTATCGATACCAAAGTCTGAAATTTCGAACCCTACTCACTGGTGCCGAGTCGTTGAAGAACTCTTGGAAAATAAACGTAAAAGACGGTAATGTTAATGGCGATGTTAGCAAGTCAATATTCGTATAAAGTTTCATAAAAAAATTCCTTGTGGTTTAAAGAATATAGGAAATGATACATTTTAATAAGCCAGCCTCCCGACATAAGCTACTATTTCATACGAACACAAATATATTCGTCTACAAATAATGTTGATTATTTTAATTAAGTCCTAAGATAAGTTTGTGAGTCTTATCAGTGTTCTATGTAAGAACCAAAAATCAATCCCCTCGCCAATTAGAACTTTTACTTTAAAAGAAAAATATACATAGCGCATTTACTCCATACTTGGTCTGACATCACTGTTTGAGCATTGATGTGCTCAGCTCACTGTTCCCAAGGTCGTGGATTTTGCACTAAATTAAGTGCTTTTGGGAAACCAAAAAGCCAAAATAATTGGAATTCAATGCTTGGTGCGGTATTTAGTGATGCTTTTTTAATTTAAGCACACCGAATGCATAGGTACATATGTCTGTATGTATACACTATACACTAATATTCTACATTAAGATGGAATTCATTTACTGAATAAAATGTGAGGAATAGGTAAATTAAATATGTTTTGCGTTGTTATAAATGTATTGAAATTAATTTATTAATAAAAACGTGAGGAAATGGATATGTATATACACTTTTTACTGAATCAAAAAAATTATTAAACATGATAATAAAAACTTAGCGCTTTTGTTTTGGAAAATTTGGCTTTTTCTGGTGGCCTGATGCCATGATTCAATAATAAAAGGTT